TGGTGCTCGGCCTTGACCTGCTGACAAGTCAAACACCGCGACGTGAATTCAGTGATCTCCCGCTTCATCGCGAGCCACCAGTAATGTCTCCTAAGGTCCTGGAACATCTTGTTACTACCCGGGTGCATGGTATACACAGTGCTGTGTGCTTCACGAAGCAGGCGTTCTCTCACCTCCCCCGCTGGCACAACCATACGCTTCCGATAGTACAAGATACCATCTCGAACTACAAAATCCGGCTTCTCTCCTCGAGAGACGAGCCCAACGGTCTCGATACAGAAATCATCACTGCTCTGCGCTGAGGCTCTCTGCTGCTGTAATGTAGGCTGGACGTGTAGCACAGCTAGAGTCTTACGACTAAGGGCATCGGCTACCACATTCGCCTTACCTGGGTGGTAAGCGATGTGACAGTCATAGTCCTTAATCAACTCTAACCACCTCCTCTGTCGGAGATTCAGATCCTTCTGCGTCAACAGGTACTAAAGACTCTTATGGTCGGTGAAGATACGCGTTGTCTCACCGTAGAGATAATGCCTCCAGATCTTCAAAGCGAGTACAATAGCTGCTAACTCAAGGTCGTGCGTCGGGTAATTACACTCATGTGGCTTCAACTGCCGGGACGCATAAGCAACGGCCTTGCCCTCCTGCATGAGAACACACCCCAAGCCGTTATGAGACGCGTCGCTGAAAACCGTATACTCCACTCCTGGAGTGGGCTGGACTAGAACTGGTGCCTGAGTCAGACACTTCTTCAGTCGCTCGAAACTCTGCTGACAAGCGTCAGTCCAAATGAACTTGACGTCCTTCCTCATTAGCTTGTGTAGTGGCGATGCTATTTTGGAGAAGTCCTTCACGAACCGACGATAGTAACCCGCCAGTCCGAGAAAACTTCTCACCTCACGTGCATTCCGCGGGGTCTTCCACTCCGTGATCGCTGCTATCTTACACGGGTCTACCTTCACACCTTCGGCCGAGATGACATGGCCGAGGAAGGTAACCTCGTGCAACCAGAACTCACACTTGGACAGCTTGGCATAAAGCTGTTGTTCCCGAAGAATGCTCAGAACGACACGCAGATGCTCGGCATGCTCCTCCTGTGTCTTGGAGTACACCAGGATGTCATCGATGAAGACCACAACAAACTGATCAAGATGCTTCCGGAACACACTGTTCATCAGATCCATGAACACTGCTGGTGCGTTAGTCAAACCAAAGGGCATGACTGTGAACTCGTAATGACCGTATCTCGTGCGGAAAGCAGTCTTAGGAACGTCCTCCTTCTT